GGGAAAAGGATGGTGGTAGTGGGGAAAGCCACTGTGGCAGAAAAAAGGCAAAAAAAGCAGGTGGCTGTGACCTCGACCTCCCTCGGATTGGCCGAAATCTGTCGTTGACAACCCTCCCCATCACACCATTTTTCTCCCCACTGTCCCCCCACCAAAACCCATGTCATTCCATGCCCATTTACTCTGCCATTAGCTGTTTGTCGATGGAAAATTGGTTGGGGAGTTTTTTTCGAACCAAAGGTGGGTAGGTTGGCTATGGAAAAGGTTTGAGATGATGGGGAGTCGTCGACAACCAGGAAATCACACACAACAGCAATAAAAAAAAGCACAACAATCAGTGGAAAAGGCTGTGAGCTACAACAAATCGGCTCAAAAACGTAACCGTTACGCGAAAAAAAGGGGTGGCAAATTGCAATCGATGAGCAACCACAAACCAGAGAAGTATGGGTTTTGAAGAGAAGAGGTCAATGATGCTGATGGTGGAGACGGGAGGATTTTTGATGTTGAGAACAATTAGAATTTGCTCCTGAAAATGCAGCAAATGGCCGACGATGATCGGCAAGCAATGGTCAGCAAGGATGATATGGGTTTTGTTCAGGGGGGAAGTGTTGAGTCTGATGGTAATGTGAGGGGGGATTTTGGCATGGGAAATCGACCGAAATCAACCCTGAAAGACTGCAAGTCGCAATGGAGGTGGAGGCGGAGAGGAGATGGATAGATTTGAGATGTGGGGGTTAAAAAGGTAATTTACTAATTTGGGGGCTAAAAATTGCTAACATTGTCAGTTTAAGGGTGAGAATATGAAATTTATGAAACTAGGGATGAGAACTTACCATTTCGCCGAACCTTGGGTGGGAACATGTCGTTTACTCTATACTTAAATATTATATTATTCACCAAGTCACTACATCTCAACGCCATATAACATTACATAATACATATCACTTAGTATATTATTGTTTTTAAAATGTAGACTTAAAGTAGATACAGAATTATCAAAAAATGAATTATTTATACTGCATTCTCACTGCAACTCTTAACAATTCTAATAACAACACCATTTAATTTCAGATCATCAGAATCTTTAACCAAACGAAGCGATCGATCTTAATTGACTTATCCAAATTGGTACTACATTTACAAAATGAAATTTACTAAAAAGGAAAAAAAGAAAAGAAAAAAGAGGTCGTCTTTGATAATTTGATAGTTATAAACAAACCTGCAGATTAGATTTCTGGAATATCGATCTGTCTCTCCTCGTCCTTCGATTCTCTGAAGCAAGTAGAATCTGAAGTCTCACTCACTGAAACCAGTTCACTCCATAAGCTAGTCAACAAGACAACGAAAATCATATATTTTTAGCGTTGTAAATTGTTCAATTAAGGGACATCTAAGGTCAATTACTGTTAGACTTAACATGGGTGAGGGATAAAATAGTAGTTTTACATCATTTTATTGTAATTTTTTTAGTTAAAGTTTATGTCCAATGTTTATCGTTTTGTATTGTGTTTATGTTTTAATTAAACTTTTAATATTAGCTTTTGTTCTGATTTCACATTGTGATTTTTGCTTTGATTTTGGTTGTTAATGTCAACTTCTGTACCATGTAATTTTTGTACCCTGTTACTAAGGAGGAAGACACATCAAGCAATTCAGATTTTTACAATTGTACAGATCCAATGGCCAAAAGAAAACGTGGCAAATTTGAAATATTAATTAATCATCAGGGTAATTTGGTCTTTTTAAATTGTAAGTAATAGGTAATGTGCTAAGAAATTATGGTTCAAGGATATTTTGTTTGTACTTTTTTTGGGTTAAGTCAACAACAACCAACTGTTAGATTTCTCTTAATTGAACAATTTACAACTTCTGTCCTTCTTATAAAGTTTGAAAACTTTGTACCCTGATTGATAATGTCCCTTTTTGAACCATTACTATTATATACTGATTTTATTTAATTGAAAATCAGGAAGCTTATTATATAAATATAAAAGAAAAAAAAAAACACCTTATAATCACGAATAAAAAGACCAAATTACCTTGATAGTTAATTAAAATTTCAAAATTGGTGTTTTTTTATACCTAAATGTTACTTAAATGATTAGACATATTCTATAATAATATTGAAAGACCAGCATGCATGCATGAAGAGTGGTGGAAATGGAGAAGAAAGCATGAAATGATGGATCAAAAAAAAAAAAAAAAAAAACGGTTTTCATGCAAAGCTTGAAAAGAGATTATACCTACTCCTTTGCTTTGGATTGATGAAGATTAGCCTCAAAAGCATGAAACCTCTACACTTTAACACCACCTTGAGAGATTAGAGAGTGGCCGTGGGTTTGAGAGAGAGTTTTAGTTTGTTTTTGAGTGAACAATTGAAGAATTAACTAAAATGCAACCTTTTGCATTTATATATACTTGGGCAATTTTGTAATTATTTATTTTTCACTTCCAAGCCCAATAAAATCTTATTTTAAAAGGGACCCCACGAAATTTATTATGTTACCCTTTGAATAATCAATATTATTCAAGGGCCCATGTAAACTAAGCTAGTTTACATTAATAACCCATAAATTTACCCTTTTACCCTTTAACTATTAAAAGGTAATTTTTGTTCATCTCACTAATCTTAACACTTTAAGATATAATAATTAAATATAATTAATTATTGCTTGACCATTTTAACATTTAAAATGTCAAATAATTTTCTATGTAACTATTACTATAGAAATCCCGTTATTACCCTCAGAAGGTGCTAGCCCTCTTCGGACAATCATTTCTCTCTCTCATCCTTCTCTTACTTCTCAAGGCTATTGGTGTGACCATGTAGGTCCATTGTGGATTAGCCGTGAGCTGGTTCTGGATAAATCCAAAAACCTGTCCGGAGGCCCAATGACTATGGTAAACATCTAGCAATGTGCCATAGTCCCTAAACCACGATGAAGAAATACTTCATCGAACCCATTTCAAATCATACGTACCATGCAGGTAAAGTCCCTCCATTGAGATATCCTGATCGAGCACGGATTTATGGAATGTCAAAATCCTAAACTCGATCTTCTACTGAATCGTCAACCAATATGTTCGGAACTCATCATCACAAACTTGCTTTTGTATGACTAATAATAGACTCTGGCCAGAGATTCTAATTTTTGACATTTATCGACGTTCGTCTAGGAACTCGAATCCGGATGGAGTCAACGGTACTCCCGATCCTATATTTCCGAGTCAATGGATCCCCTCTTGACCCTCGTTCATTTCCGCATATAAACAACGCATGACCAAATAGACTTTATTATACGAAACATGATTAGTTCGTACTTATACACCATATGAACCATACGCATCCGTATCGGATCCGACTATAATGTCTTAGGTCAAAGGACTACATCGTGCACTGATATGGCCAAACGATAAATCATTGACTACATGCTTTTCCAAGTGATTTGTCGTTATTCAGTCACGTTCGAAAAACAGTTCACCAACTGCTAATCCATACCAATGCCCCAGTGACATGACTATCATCGTCATCTGTACTTATATCAACTCATGATATCTTTCGGAAGCATCCGATATGCCTACTGTGCAATATAGTTGCCCAAATTATATTGCTTCCGTAGGGAACCCTTTTCGATAATTCATTTACCGATTAAATGAATCATCTGGACAATTCATATACATACTGTTATTAAATGCATGACTGAATAAAGGGAGCAATTTATATATATGAATTGAAGAACTTTTTCTTCTATTATTTATGATATATAGATACAAGACAAAATGCTCTGAAACCGACAACACGAATGGTTTCTAGGGCATACACTAATATACACTAACAATAATCAAATCTACCAATTCGAAAAAAGAAGTTATAAATCCATCAATAAGAAAGCACATACATATTTTGTTGGCAGATTTCAATTCATATAATTATTTATTATATTGTGATTTAACTGTTAAATAATATTGGTTTTTGGTTCGATTTTGTTTAGTTCTTTAAGTGGTGGAACCGGTATTGGAATCACATAGTACTGGTTCACTATTTTGGAACTGAAACTGACACCTAGATGATTGTCAATTCCGATTCTACTCTAAAAATTTACAACACCTAATAATACTATTGTTAAATACTAATATGGTTTCCACCCTACCAATTAATATTGTTTAGAAAAATAGTTTTTTTTTTTTTTTTAATGTCTAATTGTAAGTGTTAAGTTGTCATTTTTGTGGCCGTAAACATATATACTAAGACTATATTTTTTAAATATCATATCATATTACATATTAAAAAAAAATAATGATTAAATTGTGAATATCAAAAGTAAAACAGACGTGTGTATATAAATTAAAGAAATTAGTTTACAGAATTTTTTTTTCAATAATAACATTAGAAAAATTATTTAATTATAAAAAGTATTAAGAAACTAACTTCATTAATTATATAGTTATTAGCTCTAAATTCATTAACATATTGGTTTATCTTATATATTAGCAATTTAATTAGATTAAAAAATAAAAATTTAGATTTAAATTATTAAAATATAAATATAAAATAATCATTTTAGTTTATTTTCTTTGTTTTTAGAAGAAAATATAAATTTATTAGGAATAATTCTCTTCCTAATTGAGACTTGATTTCTTGTTGTATGATTCATTGTCTTAGTAGTATTAGGATTTTATGATTAATTGTTTTGGTAGGATTAGGATTTTATGATTCATTGTCTTAGTCGAATTAGGATTTTATTATCCATTGTTTTAGTAGCATTAAGATTTTATAATTTATTGTCTTGGTGGATTAGGATTTTATGATTCATTGTTTTAGTAGGAATATGATTTCCTATTTTATTCTAACTACTTTTCCTAATAAAATTATGATTAGCCTAGTATAAATAGGGGTATTATGTTTCAATTTATTCATTCAAGTTTTCTACAGAATCTTTTATTACTTTCTTTTGGAAATTTATCTCTTGTTCTAGTCACACAATTCCGAGTTCATAGCCATGAAAATAATTGGCAAAATAGTGAAGCTGAAATTGAAAATAGAGAAGCTGACAACTGGGAAGACAGAGAAGCTGAAATCTCAAGTCCGTCAAATAACGGTAAAGTCTGTGAAGTCACCAACTCCGAGTAAGAATGTGAATTCAAATTCAATTATTATTACAACCGATTATCAGTTGTTGCTTGAATCAGGTTTAGATGTCAACGAATTAATTACGAGAACTATGAGGAAGATTTTCAGATACATGAGTGATGTTACAGCCACAAAAATTGGTGTTCATCGAATTGGAGGGATTGGGAAGAGACTACCGCGCTGAAAGCCTTGACAGGTTACCCCAGAGTAAAAATCAGTTTTGATGTGATTGTTTGGGTGTCTGTTTCAAGATATTGGAGCACAAGAAAGATCCAAAATGAAATTTTAAAACAGTTAGTCATTGTGTTGTGAGGATTCTGCAACTGATTCTCAAGTTGCAGAAAAGTTATTCCAAGTTCTAAAAGGGAAGAAGTTTTTGTTGCTTCTGGACGATGTCTGGGAGAATATAGATTTACAGGCAATTGGAATTCCTGATCCCAGTATAGAAAATGGCTGCAAAATAATAATGGCTTCGAGAAAGGTAGATGTTTTGCGAAGCATGGATGCAACTGGGGTGATTGAAGTGGAAATCGTTTCCAGAGAGGAAGCTTGGAAACCTTTTTTAAACAAGTGGGAGGAATCATTGACTTACCAGAGATCCAGCCCTTTGCGCGAGCTATAGTTGAGGGCTGCGGTGGCTTGCCACTGCTGATCATTGTTACTAGAAGGGCACTAGCGGAGGAGACTAATATTTCTGTTTGGAAGTATGCATCCAGCTGGAAGGGCACTAGTGCAGGTCTAACAGAACCACCTTCCGAGGAGGAGTGGAGACAGGCCAAGATGATATTTTTGATGGATAATGACTTGTGCACTCTAACTGAGAAACCAAATTGCCCTGAGCTCTCTCAATTGTTCATGCAAAGAAACTCTAAGCTTAGAGTCATACGCACTTCTTTTTTTGACTTAATGACTTCCCTTACAGTGTTGAACCTATCTAGGAACAGGATCAGGTCCTTGCCAAAGACACTATTTAAGCTAATAAACCTTGAGATTCTCATACTCCGTTATTGTGACTGCCTGCATGTGCTCCCTTCTGAAGTTGGTTTTCTTGAAAGACTTGAGGTGCTTGATCTCCACGGCACAGAAGTTATCAAGTTACCTGAGGAAATTGGTAAACTGGCCTCCCTTATACAGTTGGAAGTATCACTTTATGGATCTATCGACTATACAGAGTATGTTAGACTGCCACAGAAACTGATTTCAAATGGGATTATATCAAAGCTTCACAAGCTGGAAAATCTAAGTATTGATGTGTATCCAGGAGATCAAAGGTGGTATAAGGTGGTCAGCAATAACGTAAAAGATTTGAGTTCTCTCTTGTCATTTTCCTGAAGTAGAAAACCTCGAGCTCTTCCTCCAAACAAGCATAGCATGGAACACACACGCTTAAGTGAGTTCAAGTTTGTGGTTGGGCCTGATGTGAATGACATTACCTCCCGGGTCCCAAATTATACCGAATTTGATTATCATCAACAAGGTCAATGCTTGAGATTTGTAACAGCGAGACGAAACCTGAAGCAGTTCTTAAAGTATTGGCTCGTAGTACTGTTTTCTATTTAGATTATCACCTTGGCATCCGGAATCTGTTAGAATTTGGGGTCAGCAATATCAATCGATTGAAATTTTGCACAATAAGTGAATGCCCCAACATTGAAACAATTTTGGAAAGTGATGAACTTACCGAGGCTGTGTTTCCAATCCTGGAGAACTTAAGTATGCATGATATGTGGAACTTGACAAGTCTGTGGGAGGGAATTGTGCCAGCAGGAAGCTTTGCTGTGCTGAGAATTTTAACAGTGCAGGCCTGTCCAAAGTTGAAGTATGTGTTTAGCAGATTTATGAGTGAGTTCATGCCAAAGTTAGAAGAGTTGACAGTGATCACATTCCACTCCCAAGATTGAAGAAGCTAAAGCTTCATTATCTGCCCGGATTAGTTAATATTTGGAGAAGCGGTTGGCCCTCATTAGAACTTATCAGCATTTATGGTTGCCCCAGGTTGAAGAAGATCATTGGTAAGGATTCCAAGTTGAAACATAGGAAAATGGAGATTCAGGCAGAGGAGAGTTGGTGGAATGCATTAGAGTGGGAAGATCCTGAACTGCATAGGCATCTTCAAAACTGTTTCACTAACATTTCTGTGGATGACCTATAGAAAGAAATAGCAAAGGTCTTTGTGGTAATTGTCATCTTTGTTTCAACACATTTCTTCCTTCAGGCAAAAGTTTGGTTTCAAATTATGGAAGGAGTGTGTTGTGAATAATATGTAAGATTTGTAATCGAATTCAGTTTTCTAGTTTAGCTTCTTTGCATTTTGTACTACTTAGATTTTCTATATCAATGAAAAAATAATTCATAATAAATAACGATCCTGAAATATCCTCACCATAAAATTTTCATTTCCGCTCTTTAGTCATTGTTCTGTTCATCCGCTTTTAGATTTAACCGCCTCACAAGTATTTCCTGCACATCTCTCACATTGCCATCAGGGTTTACATTTACCCAGAAAACTATATCAAACAATTTACCAACTGCATCATGCAGATTTTCCATTATTGTAGTTTTCCCAACTCCTGGAGGCCCCCATATGCAGATTGTCTTTATTTCAACATCTCTGAGATAATCTTGCAACAGTTCTATATGTTCATTAAGTGATGGGAACTCTTCAATTTTCTTGGCACGCCTTCTGATGATTGGAGCTAGTCCTTTCTCAACCATTACTTGAACTTGCCCAATTTTATTCTTTAAACAGACAATCTCCTCTGTTTTTTCCACTATTCATTAACCAAGCTTCAGGAATCTCAACAACGGGCATACTCCACACACACATTTGCGGATATTCTGATACTCAATCTTCAACTTCTTGATCTCTTCCTTCATCTTTTCCACATCACTTAGCCAGGTTTCACATTTCCCAGTCTGCATCTTCTACACATAGATTTCTATCAAGCTTGGCAAAATTCTGGCTCATATTTTTCACATAACCAAGCTTCTGCTTCAAACAATTGAATATGTTTTTTCCTCCTTTTAATGCCGGTGCAACTAATGTACCAGCTACTTGCTCGATCATTGTTTGCTGCATCCTGCAAGTAATATCTTTAAAAATGAATGTGTTGAGAAAATTATTATGATAGAGCTCCAAAAATGGCTTAATTGGAATAAATTATAATCTAACATACTAATTAACGACAAAATAGGGGAAATGTTTTCATAACCAACCCGGTCAGGTGACCAGGTAGACGTCATCAGGACAAAAAAAAATTAAGAAAGCAACAGGTTACAGGCTCATTGATGTTGGTTAAAATGGTCTGGGAAAGTCGTAAATCAGATTGGTGCCAAACAAAAAACACTATAATTACAAGTTAGTCGGATATACCAGCAAACTCTGTAATATTTTTCCTGTTTTACAATCCAGTATCCACAATTGATTTTTCTTTTTCTCGTAATATATAAATATCAAATGATTAACCGAAAAACCAGCCAATCTATAATGAAATTCGATGATGAAAAAAAGAGTAAAAGGAAAATTACAAAAAAGACGGCATGTGCCTCAATAACTCCAGTCTTAAATCACTGTCTTTCCTCTAATTCTTAATGCCATAAACGAAACTGGTGAAACGGAAACCACAAATGTACTAGAGGGCAGTATCAATGAATGGGCCTCAAAAGTCTGGAGAATGGAATTATATAACTAGTTGTGGCATTTGATCGAACAATTAGAGAGCAATAATACATCTTCACAAAACTAAAAGGCAATTCTGACCCAAATTACAAAGCAATGACACAAACTCAAGCAGCTTCACGTAAGAACTTCATCCCATATACACTTAGAAATGCATTCAAATCCAGCAACCAAGCACGCTGAGATCAGATGAAGTGAAATAAAAGTTGAAACACAAACAAACCTCGGCGGATGGCGAGTCGGCGACTGTATTGCGGCCGGCGGCGGTCGATCGAAGAAATCTGTAAAGAATCTGAAGATGCCGAAGTTGTTTGATTGTAGAAGTTGTCTGGTTACTGGCAACATTAGCCTGGTTTTGACACAAAACCGGTTGGTAGGGGTGTTCAAAAAAATACAAAAACCGAATCGAAAAACCGATTAACCGAAAAAATGGTTCGGTTATGGTTCGAAAAATTCAAAAAATCGAATTTTTTGTTCTGGTTCGGTTATCGGTTCAGGAAAAATTAGAAACGGTTAACCGAAAACCGGTTTTCTAAACCGATTTTTCAAATATATATTAAATAAATAAATCCCTAATTCGCTCAATCTAAAATCCCAACCCAAATTTTTTTTCTTAGTTCCCAATGTATTGTCTATATTTACAATTTAATTTATGACAAAAAAAAAGTTTTATAAAAAAAATAAGGGAAAACCGGTTTAAAACCGGTTAACCGCTTTTTTTAAAACGGTTAACCGGTTCGGTTTCGGTTCGACAGTTTTCCCGAACCGAAAATTTGGTTCGGTTTAGAAAAGCGGTTAACCGGTTCGGTTAACCGCTTTTGAACACCCCTACCGGTTGCACTGGAGGTTTCAATTCCATACAGTAATGCCGGTCAGTGTTTGTATGAGCTTATGATTTTAACTTATAAGCATTTGAAATTTTAAGCAATTACGTGTTTGGTTAAAGTATTTATAAGTGACTGATAAGAAATTAACGTGTTTGGTAAAATGTGGCTTATAAATACATTTTATTATAAAATAACTAAAAAGGGTACTACATTAAACAAGGATATACTATGGAATTTTAAAATTAAACAAGGATAATGTGGTAATACACTTGATCAAACTAGTTTATAAGAAAAAAAAAAAAAAAAAGTTACCTCCCCCCAATTTTTTTTTTCTTTTTTGCTTATAAACTTAACTTATAAATTCAAAAAAGTTATAAACAAACATGTCAATTTAATTTTAGAGTTTATAAACTAGTTTGACCAGCTTATAAGCTTAGATAAATACTCCCTAACTGAAAGTAGTGATTTTTAAGTTGATCGTCCCGGTCTAGAACCTGGTTTCTAATCTAACCGATTGAACTAGGACAGACCGGTCGGGTTTAAATTAAGAAAGTATACAATAATGGCGTATTTGATAAATCAAATATATCGTGATCTAAAAAAAAAGAAAAAAAGAAAAATGATGGTTCGGATTTGTAGATAATATTTAATGAAAATTTGTAGATTCCTGAGAAGAGGTTTTAATTAAGTCTTAATCATTAGTATAACGTGATCAATTAATATTATTTGGACAGATTGTCTTTTAGTTTAAATATTAATTAATCTTGAAACTAAAATAGAGTAAAATTAAGATTATAATTTTAAATAAAACTAAAACTAATATTGAATTTTTTTCTTTTTTCTATTTTTTTTTAAGAACGGGGTGTCTGTGCTAAATTATACGCACCTCAACTAATTCACCAAGACCCTAAGACTACTGGCCAATTAAAAGCTTCAATGGTTATCCTTGCTAGCAATTGAGAACGTATTCAAACTCATGACCTTTTGAGTAATACACCCAAGAGTACCTATAAAACCACTTGATCACCCAGAGATGGTTAATCTTGAAAATTTTATATTTAAAGAACTCCTGCTAAAAGGTTTTCTTTTTTCTTTTTTTCTTTTTTGACATATACTGTATATTCTAATCCAAAAAAATTATATATAGAAAATATTTAACAAATATATTTTAAATTCAACAAACAATATTAAAACATAACAAAGTAATGTTTTCTAAAGTAAAAGCCTAAATAAATTATAAAGCTATTTAAATGACACTCACCATATGTTAGTTAGTTGAGATTCTAACCTACTTAACATAATAAATTGTACAAAAGTAATGAATTTCTCTTTCAAATTATTCATGACATATATGATTTACTCTATCTAAGGCTTAATTTATTTTATTTACTCTTTAGTAAATAATGATTCCAAATTTCAAAAAATAATTATTGTTATCTAATTAAAATAAATATTAAAAAATATTCTTTTACTATTGCCTTTTTAATAAATAAATAAAATATCATGAATGAATTTCACTATTGGTTGCTTATGCTTGCATGATTTAAACGCTTGTGATAAGATATTGTAAGATTTTATTCAAAATTAAGCGGCCCGATTTTAGGGGCATTAATATTAATGATTTAATAACAAATAAATCTTGCATGTACATCCGACTATTTGATGGACGTATCGGATTTAAGAAAGATAGATATAAATTGATCATCTCTCTGCCTATTACAGATACACATAGAAAAAGATGTATGCTTAGACCTATACATAAAAAAAAACTAATTCCATCTAAGGTTTGTGTAACATCAAATAAAGGTCCAAAGAGAGAAATTAAT